CCCCAAAACCCCAAAACCCCAAAACCCCAAAACCCCATGAGCAAATATAAATACATTGATGAAAATAGAAAAAGTAATATAATAAGTATATTAGTTAAAAGAATGGCTGCAATAGACCTTTTATTTGAGGAGGCTCCATTTATGGAGTCTCTTAGACAATGGATAGTACTCTTCTTGACTTTTATTATGATCCTGCTTTTTGGTCTAGCTATTGCTAGACTGTATAAAACTCAAAGAAAACTTACATTTGACTGCTTAGTCCTTGGTATAGAAGCATTAAAGGTAACTATAATAATTCTTCTACTTTATCAAATTCTATTTCTCGTTGATCCTACAATTTAAATGGTCAAAATAGAATTATATTCCATCGAATAGAGCTGTTTCTTAATATTATTTTTACAGGTTTTCTTATTCTTTCTATATGACTTTGCAAATGATCATCTTATTATGTTACTGATAGTATTCGTATTCCAATCTGCTATTAGAGCTATTGTATGCGCTAACTTCTTCTAAAAATCTCTGGTGATCATTAAGCGTGCCGACTGGAAACGCCCCTTCACATTCATTTACTCAGCTGTGATCGCCTTTTCCTTAATAGGCATTTTAATCCTATCGATGCAGTCTGACACTACTATAAATTGCACAACTGATATTTTTAGTAAGCCATTCAATTAGTTTAAATAGAGTTAATTTGACTTTTCTAGGTTATCATTGGTTTTTAATAGCAGCTCTAGACCTTGCCTAATCTTTCCTTATCATTGTTTCTGCTATTTTCATCGTCAGATACATGCGTAAAAACATGCTTGAACAGGCTATTTCCTTCGCCACCCTTACACATGAGATGAAGAGAATTCAATGTTTATAAAACTAGACCAAACTCCTAGCTGCTTGTTACATGAGTTTTGGAATAGTAGACTTTGTAATGATGAACTTGGGCAACTATCTATTCGAAAAAGATCACGACTTCTACTGCTATGATGAGACCTAGATAGAAGCAACATCTAACGAGGGAGCTATATTTTTCTTTGTCTATACCATGCTGATACAGTCCTTCTCTCTAATGATTTGGTTAGTTTTTTACAAGATACCTGATCACTATGGACTGATATCCAAAGTTAAAGAGACTATAATGATCTAAGCTAATAGAGCTGGCTCTTATGAAAATGAAGCCTTGGTTGATAATATTATTCAAATAGCTAGAGATGATGACATGATTGCATAGAGCCCATTGCTCTCAGATGAAGGGAGACAGAAAAGACTAAGATCAAAATTCAAGATCAATGAAAGTACTCGCTAGAGTTTGATATCAAATGAAAGTGATCATAGCGATCAAAGCTACAACAATAGTAATTCTAATTATCAAAAGATGCCTGATGATATTCCATAATATGATGATTAGCAGTAGCCCCTATATTCAAGACTAAGTATTGGCAGTAAGAGAGCAAGCGTTAATTCTGATGTGTATAACAGAAGAAAAAGAAATAAAGGGAATTTTTAATCTTTCAAATCATGATGAGGATCTATGAGTATTTTATCTCTTAAAGGGATATCAATTAACGCAATTGATGATAATTCCCATCGAATAATATTTTAATAGTTAAAATTTGATAATTTTATTTATCATTGTCGATTTTGGCAAAGAGGGGTTTTGGGGTTTTGGGGTTTTGGGGTTTTGGGGTTTTGGGG